GAATTATTTAACGAACCTTTGCAATATGCTTCTTTCTGGAAAGGTCAATCAAGACATACGTCCTATTTTATATGGTGCTTCTTTATGTGCGTTAAAGAAAATGACTGGCGGTCTACGTCTTAATTATAGTTGTTGAAAATTTTTATCGACGTTTAGTAGCGAAACCTGTTTGTTTCAATATAGGAGAAAGTCTTGGAAATCTATTTCGTCCCCAACAATTTGGATTTGGAACAAATGGTGGTTGCGAGGCAGCAGCCCATGCGTCGCGATGTTATATTAATCAAAACCCTAACCCAGTTGAAAAAGTTTTTCTGAAACTTGATTTTGAGAATGCATTCAATACTATTGACAGAAATTTCATGTTACATTCGGTTCCAAACGCCATACCAGACATATATATTTTTATTGAACAATGTTACAGTGAACCTTCTTTGTTAATATTTGGTAACAAAATCATAATGTCATGTTATAACTAAAATATCCATTGAATTCAACTGCTGAAATCAACAATATCTGCTTTTTTTGTGTTATCGTTTGGTATTGTAGTAAATAACCGAGAATGAAACGAAGCGTTATCCATAACAATAACCGAGTTTGGAGAAATATTTGGAAGAAGCTGCTCACTGAACCAGGTTTCGAATAAAGCCGCAGTCATATCTTCGTGGTAATCAGCAGACGAATCTTTTTTTATATTTTTGGCCCACATAAGTAAAGCGTTAGGTTCGAAACCACTTTCATTCCCATGCTGGGAATGAAAGTGGTTTTGTTATAACACGTTTTCCACTTGAAGAATGAGCGTTCAAAGCACAATACTTGGTTTCGTCTACCCAGAGACAGTTTTCCTCCTTCAAGCATTCATGAATATTTAAAATTACTCGCTGAACTTGAACATGTAAGTCCTTATTTTCAAATTCCGGATCCCTGTCGATTGACACAGATTCCTCACACGTAATGTTATCATTTGTTTCAAAAGGTCTCCAGAAAGTCATATTGATGAAAGTACCCAAAAACACTAAGATTCTCACAAAAATCGGTTTAAACGATGAGATTGAAATCTTTGGTGTGAAAGTTGAAAACTTTTTCTAGAGATCAATTACCCTAACACCAAACTAATATTTTTGCACTCGACGTGCGTTTCGCTAATAAGGTTAGCATCTTCAGGAGAAGCAAACTGATACTGAATGTAAAGACAAGGGTTAGCCGTTTATATACCTAAAGTTTTTTGGTCCGATCTGGACTTTGTCTGTTAAATGATGATTATCCTAATTGATTTTTCGGTAATTAACTAGTGGACCACTACCTGCAAATTAATTTGTCCGCTTTTTAATCTATTGTTGACGAATTAATTTGCAGGTAGTGGTTCCACTAGTTGATTACCGAAAAATCAATTAGGATAATCATCATTTAACAAACAAAGTCAACATGGGACCAAAAAACTTTAGGTATACAAACAGCTAACCCTTGTCTTTAGATTCAGTATCAATTTGATTCTCCTGAAGTTGCTAACCTTGTTAGCGAAATGCGCGTCGACTGCAAAAATATCAGTTTGGTGTTAGGGTAAATGATCTCTAGAAAAAGTTTTCAAAAATAGGTTTGCAAAACCACTCACTACCTCACCTAACCCCACGAACACACGGCACTGATAGAGAAATATTGTGAAACGGACAAAAAATTAGTATTCAGCCAGTCCAGCTAGCCGAGCCTGTACTCCTCAACTACATTTGATGATGCACGTTTACTAACTATCTGGGCGACTAGGGGCCACAGGCAAGAAATGTTTATGACTGTACTCTTATTTGTATTGCCGTTCCAACTGGGAATGGAAAGAATATATTAGAAGATTATCGTAACACAATAAGTCATTCGAAAGACCTGGGACTTGAACAAAATTTCGAGAAATATGAACTCATTTTTCTGGATAAACAGGACCGTATCGAAAACGAAACTTGGTTATAGGCATCACTTCAAGTTTTTAGAGGAGGATTAGGAATTCGTTCAGCCACTTCACTCGCTTTGCATTAATTTCTGTCCTCATTTTGCACTGTTTTCAATCTTATAGAAATCATCTTACAATACTCAAAGTCAATATCTGATTGTGTTTTTGATCGGGGCAAATCTCTTTCGGAATCTAGAACTGGCCAAACGATGAAAATTGAAGACATGAAAAACCAGAGGGCATGGGATAAACCATTACTAGATCAAGCAACTAACTAGTATTTGACTGAAGACAGCTTCTGACACTTTGAAAAATAGGGCTCGTCTTCTCGCAGTAAGTGTGAGAGAATCTGGTGCTTGGTTAAATGCTGTTCCTGTAGCATCGCTTGGAACTGTGTTGGATGATCAGGCTTGCCACCGGATTTTGACTTGGTACACCACTGAGTGGTATACTTTTGTAAATATGGTGCTTTTGAGGATGAATCAGGTACTCATGGGTTGAACTGCCGTTTTAGCACTGGTTGTTTATTTCGCCATTGTGCAATTTATGATCTGATCAAAAGGGCTTTAACTTCAGCAAAAATTTCTGCGATTTTAGGACCCATAGACACAAGTCGAGACGACGGAAAACGGCCGGATGGTATGACACTTGTTCCATGGATAAACGGTAAATTTGTTGTTTGGGACTTTAATTGTATAGATACATTAGCAACACATTAGCAACATTAGCAACTTGCCATCTTCCTACTACTTCTTCGAAAGCCAGTGCTGCTGGATCTTTAGGAGAAAGTTCCAAACTACGAAAATATTAGAATTCGGGAAATGATTATATCATTCGCCCGATATTAATCTCTCCAACTACTTACACAGTAGGGTGTGGTAAACGTCTAATGAAAAACAACTACTTCCCCGGCTAAAACCACGCTGGATATTGAATTATATCCGACAGACATTTATGCAAGATTCATCATAGAGACTAGTCTCGCAGATGTTTCTCGTTCATGCAGCAGCAAGACAATGCTGAAATTATTCAAGTAGTTGTTTTTGAATCAGATACCATTCATAGGAACGCTACATAATGTGGTAAACGTCTAATGAAAAACAACTACTTCCCCGGCTAAAACCACGCTGGATATTGAATTATATCCGACAGACATTCATGCAAGATTCCTCATAGAGACTAGTCTCGCAGATGTTTCTCGTTCATGCAGCAGCAAGACCATGCTGAAATTATTCAAGTAGTTGTTTTTGAATCAGATACCATTCATAGGAACGCTACATAATTTATAAAAGAGTTACGATATAAAATTCCAGATACACGGAATACTATCTATTATCCTCGATGGCGGGCTTCGAAGTTTCGAAAGGAGACGCTTGTCTCTTTACCTCAACAGTATTTCTCTGGATATTACAAGATGAAACTCTTGGTTCATTCATAACATTATCTCACGGAAGAAACGAAAAAAGCAATTAGGTTTTGAATCACTTTCTTATTTCCTTTGGAAGTTTTACACATTTTTTGAATGGAGATGGAACAGTAAGAAGACAAAAACCTTTTTTTCACAAAAACTAGTTTCTCGAAATATATCTTTTTCATTTTAAACGAAAATTAAATAAGTGTTTGAATGTCTTAACGTAGGTTACTGTCATTGTAGGATGAGTAGATTTTACTCATTGGCAACAAAAAGCCGTAATTTCATGAAATATTTCAGTGGTTTTTTTCGTAATATTATCCAGCAAGGTGCCGATGGGGTGATAAGACATGAATCTTATTCCGAAACTTTTGATTTCACCAATGAGGGCGATAGTGTTTCATGTTAAGGAAATGTCATATCGCAATTCTTTCAGACACTGTGTGGCTTCCTTATTAATTAAATTCGTTTCAATTCCATAATGAATATTTGGAGTTCAAACTAAATAGGAAGAATTAAATGTTCATTATGGAAGAATTTTTTTTATGCAATTCAATGTTCATGTGAAATTAGTCATTGCATAAGGAGTTCTCTCTGATTTGAATCTAAACGTTTCTTACATTTTTATTATGAAGATGTATAAGTAGAAAGAAAAAAACCATTCTTTTCTAGAAACTCATTTCGTGAAAATATACCCCTTTCAATTTGCAGACAAGTATTCACACAGTATTTTTTGGCGCGGTCCTGTATTTCTAGAAATTGACGTATTCAGAAAATATTTTGCATACGCGACAATCAAATATTTAAAAAACATGTTTTAAAATATGTTTTATTCGTTAAACAGCTATCGCACCCCTACGAACGACAACCCTCAGAAGTCGAAACTTGTGCGAGCTAAGGACTAACGAGGTCTTACCTTTCAACGTGTGATTCCTAATACTTTTACTATTTACTAGGCTGGGTTCGTGGACGCAACCATTTTTGTTCTCTGACTCTGAATTATTCGCTTACTCATGTCTACATTCTGATATAAAAATGATTGGATTTGACTTTCAATTGTATGATCATTCATTTTCCTTCGTAGATTTAGCTAACATAAATACACAGACATAACATTGGAGAGTATGGTTTAACCGAACCCCTTCATGATAGGCAGGATAACTTGGACCTGGAAGATTTTTTTGTGAAGTTGTTGGTGAAGAAATATTCAGCTTTTCAAGTTTTCTGGAACATTCATTTTTATCTCCAGCGCTAGTAATGAAAAACGATACCTAAATAAACAGTACGTTTGTTTCAATTCTATTGTTTAAGGAAAACTGCATTTCTGTGCGTAGAACATTTTTTGATATTATCAATTTTAGTGCAGAACTCGATTAACTCCTCTTTGTTTGACATGAGCCATAGTTTGGATGGTTCGGAATCATAAAGAGTCCTGAAATAAGTTAGTTAACTGAAAATCTGAGAGTTGTCAACGACCCTGAGATACTTTACATCATTTTTCATTTGAAAAATTATTTAATCGATACAAGCTTTTTTTAAAGCAAAACAGAATACTCTAGACGTTCTGTAGAAAAGCAGCTTCACTAGATTAGCTCGGAAATCATGTTCTCTGGGTAACCTATTAAATTTAAAATGTCATTGAAAGCTCATACAAGAACTTAAAGTATTTAATATTCAAACTTTCAAGCCGAATATATAATAAAAATAATCACTTTCAACAATTATCTTTGCCTTGAATTAACAGTTGAATAAAATAATAATATCCTAAGAGGCTACCTACAGAAATATTTTTCACAAAAAATCTTACAATATTGTCTCATAAAAATGCATTATTGATTGAAAACACTCTTTTCAATATGAATGAGATGTTCACGACAAAAAATTATTAAATTTTTAGATAGATGCCTTGAAGCTTATATTTTCATGTCACCCAATAAATCAAAATGACTTAATTATCCTCTAAAAATACTTTTCACTTTTGGAAGTTTCCAGTCGCAAGTCGCAACGATGGAATAATCACAACTCCATGAAAATATATGCCAATCTTTTGAATGTTAGATAACTTCTTATGTGCATTGGCACATCAAAATGAAAGGTATTGATCACGAATTGGTTGCCCTTTCAACACATATGAATTCACCTATTTCCAGTGATATCATCAAAGAATTATTAGAGAATGGTGTATGCCCATATATCTAATAATGTTTCATATTCATATTAACTTTAATAGATAATTTTCCTTTGCAAGGACTGAACAAAGACTAGTAGGAACCAATAGAAAACGAAATAAATTGTTTCTTTGGCGAATTTTTCAAAATAAGCACATTTCAAGCCTTGCCAAGGTAATAGTAAGCTTTTACAATATCACTCGAATGACAAGAATAAGCACAACTAAAATGATATCTTTATGATCGTTCAGCGTACACTCCATAATTCAATTAAATTTTATCATGAAATGAAGTAACTATTGAAATTTCGGAAATGTCACTTCGACAGGCTTTTGTGCTTTCTACAGTTTTTTGTACCAGAAGAGGTAATGATCACCCTCCTCGATCAGAAGGTCGTCAACACCTGAAAAAAAAAAAAATTAATGAAAGTCACCACTGACAACAGTAGTTGAAGATGGTAAGTAAGTGAGGATGGCTTATCTTTATTACTTCTTAANACTAATAAAATAAAACTGTTGCAACACCATGGAATTATAAAACAACTTTGCTGGTTGGGTCCAATTACGACAATATTGTTTCTGAACACTGCCGTTAGAAAAAAGTACATTCGTCACTAAAACAAATATTGTGGAGATAGGTAGGATGTCTTTCAATGGTTTCCGTCATGATTTCGCAGAATTCTATTCTTCGATCAGGGCCATGTTCAGTTAATTGGTGTACCATTTTAATTTTGTATGGATGATACCCATTTCTCTTCAAAAGTCTACACACAGTAGAAGGAGGCATCTCACAAACATTCGCGACGGAATAAGTAGACTTTTCAGGATTCACTACCATCTCACCAATTAATTGCAGTTGCTGTTCTTCGGAAATGGACGGATGACCTGGGGGCGTTTTGTTATGTACACTATAGGTAGTTGTGAATTTGAAGTTCCCTCAAATATTTTCTATAGATAGGCGATTCGGAAAACTTTCATTGAAAATCCTTTCGAGCCCGTGAAAGTTACGCATCGCACCGTAAATAAAAATAGCTTCAATTTTTTCTTCCAATGGACGTGAATTGACCATTTTAGATATTGTTGACGTGTTAACGTGGTACCTACCTTTCTACTAGTAAAACCGAAAACTAAATGAGAATATTCTAACTGAACAATGATGTTCATTGTCGTACTGACATTATTTGTCGTTTTTATAAACAATAAATAACTTAACAAACCTTATCGGGTTGTTGGAATTGCCATATGGCAGATAAAAAGGAATATTTCTAGAAATATCGATTTCAATGTGTTTGTCTTCAGGAAATTATTAAATGTTTCGCCATTTTGTAGTAGGTGAAGATTTTAACTTCATATTCTAGGGTTGTGAAGTATTCGTCAGGAGCTTCGAAATGATGCGTCGGAAGAACCCCATTTGATTTTCTCCCAGATGGCACCCAGTCGCCATCTTGAGAGCTTCATGTGTCAATTTTACTTCAAAATAAAGTATCCGTGCATTGATTTCATTATCCCAAATTTCAATTTTTTGAGTTGACCCGTTCAAAAAATAAAAGGCGGGGGGGACAATAAAGAAATGCACTGTATATGACGTATGAGGTTTTGTAGATTCCAGCTTATGAATTTTTCAATATTTTTATGAAAATTGAGCCTAATCGGCTCAATTTTCAACATTTTTTTTGAGAGAAGTTTTTTCAGAATTCTTTCGTTACTTGATGCTTATCAAATCAAAAGATTTCAAAATCACTTCGGAACTGAAGAACATTTTTATAAATTTTCGAATAAAAGTTGAACATTTAACATTGCCTTGTTCTAATGTGAATTTATTGATATCGATGAAACTTTTTGTATCTTACTATGACTGTGGAGTGCTACTTATTTTAGGCATTGAAGAACATTTCATAAGGAACATATAACGAACAAATCTAGAAATAACTCTCGAAAGGTTCGTCCAGATTGTAATAGAATGGAAAAACTTCATAGGCTCATGCGAAAACACCGACGGACCAAGAGAAAAAGAAATTGTTCTACTCCAGCCTTTGGCATGAAGTTCAAAAGAGTAGATAATGTGTGGTAGTGTCTATTCAAGAGGCGAAAGCGGATCTATTCGAAGTTATAGAAGGGATGGAAATACCCTTACCTGGTGCCTTGATGTATGGCATCCAGCTAATATCAAGAAGCAATCAATTGATCTTTCCCACGATAATTATATCTCTTTTCATCAGTCGTCGCCAAGAGGTTGCTCCCAACTTTTTTTTCAAATAGAAAGGAGGTATTGTGATACCTTTTCAATAGTATTTTTTTTTCAGTATTTGTGACTTCACCAATTATGCTATGCGAGTGTCATCTGATTTATGAGTTTGTTTTAATTTTTCAAAAAAAAATCGAATAAAGAATCAAGTAACTTCGTTTTATGTTTCTATTTTTTTCAGAACTTGAATCTCAAGACATCTGGCTCCTCCGTCTTCTATAAATAAATGAGTGACTGAGATCAGTATACATATTCCATCTTGAAAATGGTTGTCTGAGCTGATTTACATTAGTATATTAATCATCTACAAAAGAATTTCATTGTTCGTTGAAGAAGCAAACATTCGTGAAGAGAAAAAAAATCATAAAACTGACTGAATTGCATATAATAACAAATCTCTTGAATAAAAATTTGATTGGTTTCAATTTTTTCAGAAAAAGCACTAGGAAAATCGGCAGTGGAGGAATACACGATACTGATTGAAGATATGAAACTACTTGCCCCCGATCATGGATACCCCAGTCGGCTTGTACGGGAAGTCATAGAAATCCATAAACATACGGAAAACTACAACAAAAAAGAGGAAGAGGTAACGCTCAACCGGATTTGTAATCTCCTACCGAAAGATGATAAGGTGGCAACAGTGCAATGCAACGTCACGTCATCACCAGGTAATAGCTCTTCGGCTAATAACAACGCATCAACAAGAAAGGCGGGCTACCTGTGTCAACAAAAATACAACCTACGAACTAAAAATCACCAGTCATCGGTGAATCATCAGGATGAATAAACCTCTGAAGAAGCCAGCCCCTCATGCTGGCGAAACGTTGGGATACAGTTACAAACCACGACGGCCTTCAAACCCGCATGAAGTTCGTAACACTGAAAATCGCGGCCGCGAAAGCCCTAACCAATTTATCAGAGTATTTATTATTATGGTCAAGGTACCAGTAAGTATACGAGTATAATGATAATTTTGAAGCAAGGAATATATTCGACGGAATTGAAAAAAAAATCGTTAAAAGGCAAGAACTGAAAAAATGGTTCACAAATATATCATTTTTTTGATAAATCTGAATTTGCCATCTTATTTTTATTCAATTGCAAAACATTATTTGGTTGAGCTAACTCCCAATTGTATTGAATTGAGCCTAATGTTACCAAAAATCGTATAAAATACTGGCATAATTGGATATGACTGACCAATACTTAATGGAAATCCATATCAACACTAACAATTTACCGTAATATTTTCACTGTAAGGGTTTTACATAAACCGCGATACGTGTTTCGCTATACAATATCTTCGTGAAGCGAGAATTACAGATAGAGCAGCAGCATAAATTAACATCATATCAGAGATATCTGATCGGATCTAAATAGTTTATATATAGAATTAGAACTTCTGGCCTGAAATGAATCTATTGGGAAACAGAATCAACAGAAGATTATGAAAGTGGGAAAAGTGTTTTCGACAGATAAATATCTGAAACTTTTAATTATAGCGAATCAATAGTTTGAACTTTCAATACTATTTACTAGGAATCGCACGTTGAAATGTAAGACCTCGTTAATTGATAACGGAATATGCAAAAGACATATTTCAATAGGTGCATGACAACTGGTTACGATTAATACACATGGTACATCTAGGTTTCAGGTACCCTGTGGTGAAATACACCTAGTATTGAATGACTCTCAAAATCGTCCTATATGCAAGCTTGGTTCATTTCCTATACGTTGTTTCTTCATTTATTTTGATATCACAATTTGATACAAATTAATGAAAAAATACATAAAGCATTTCTTTTTTTTTTCGTGTTCTTCATTCTTTACAATAATAATGGAAAAATTAACAATTATACGATAACAAACGAAAACAAACAAATGGTTGGAAAAACCTTTATTCAATATCGGATGTTGCCTCCTCTAGCTTGGGCAATGGGTTTCATTCTCCGATGCATTCCAAGAATAAGTAATCGAAAATACTCTTGGGGCATGCTACCCCATTTCTTTATTAGCGGAACATGAAGTTTATTTTTGTTCGTAGGTGAACTTTCGTGATTTCTCACAAGTTTACGTACTCATTCCCAGACATGCTCAGTACAATTTGCGTCCAGCGAGCAGGCTGGAACAACGTGGTCGGCTGCATTGTTGATATAACAATGTAACTTCGTGATGGTAACATGGTCCATCTCCAATAAAAACCTTTCAATAATACAAGCGTTTAACATAAAAAAAATCACATATTTTTTCTTTTAGCAACATATTGATAATTTCATCCTTGTTGTGAAAGAGTTAAGGCTACAGCACAGTCTTCTCTACTCAAAACCATTGTTAAAGCGAATGAAAGTTTTCTCGAGCTGACGTTATCATAATAACTCAACTGTCAAATGATTGTTGAAGTACAACAACGCTATCAGGACAAGGAACAATTCGTTCAGGCCTGCCTTTCCACACAGTAGGTTCATGGACTGACACCTTTCAGAAAACAACCATTTCCCTGGCTAATACAACAAGGGGCGTTGGATTATATCCAACACGTGTCAGTGCAACTGCCGTAATTGATTCTCAATTATTGAAACGGGCACACTTGCAGACCGGTTTCGGGCTATTTGACCTCTTGTCAGTGCAAGGTAGTTGTCCTACATTAACACGAAGTCGATTATTTCCCATAATTAATGATCAAATTCTATGAGAGTTCAATACCTCGAACGAAGCTGAAGCAAACGACATGCAATATTTCTGTCATATCGCCCTCTGCTTATAGATGAGGTACTAACCAACTGCAAATTCCACTAGCTCAAATCCTCATATGCCCACCTATAGTGGGCATACTCAAAGATTGGCTATAAATCAAATATTCAAAGGAAAAATAATTCGTTTGGACCAATCTTCCCTTACCTACACAGTGAGTTCATGGACTGATTCCTATTAGATGATTGGATGATTTGATTTATAGCCAGCCGAGACAATTATAACATGTAATAATGATTGTGCTTTATAATGACTTTCTCAACATGTCTGCTCGAGGTAATGTATAGCGAAACATGGGTCGCGGTTTTTGTTAAACCTGTTATAGTGTTAATATTACAGTTAACGTTTTTGGTAGGTTTCAATATGGATTTCCATCAATTATCGACCAGTCCAATCAATACTTACCGACTGGTGCAACTAATTGATTCGCCGGTGGCGTTAAAGGATCTGGTACTTCAGGAAGTCTGTATAATAGCCAATAGTGATAGCCCATAGGTTCTTCTTTATAACCAGCCAAAGTATGTACATAGTGACCATTTGGCCATTCCGAGGCCTCGAATGAAAAGTGAGGATCCATGTCCATAGCCATCTGCATAATGTTGTAGAATGATGTATTCCTTGGCGCAGTGATGCTTATTGTGGAATTTTCAGTAATATTGGAACCAACCCATAAGGTGTAGGTTACCGTTATATTTCGAATTTCGGAGTCGTTTCCATGTGAAGAGAGGGATTTCGTTAGACCGTCTATTTCAACTGAAAAAAGCATAATAGCGATCACTTTCCTGAAAAAAAACTTTTACGGCTATTATCAAAAGTCAGTTAACGAAAAAACAGACTTCAACGTATCAACTGATATGGAAGGGTATCATTAAAAATTAATGCTTCTATTCTGGATTTAGCGCAAGCATGCCAAACCCGTGGCCCGTAGCCGCATACGGCGGCCCTAAAAAAGCCAAAATCTTATATTTATGATTTTATGAATACCTACATTTATTATAATAAAAAATATCGGCACCTCTCTTAATTTGTCAGCTACTGATATTTCAGCTGAGATGAAGCTATCTGAGTTTTAGTAATATAAACATTGTGTTGAAAATCCGCTTAAACCATTATGAAACCCCTTAACTTCTAGTAATGTACAGGTAGCTTGAGATTTGTAAATAAATAAATAAAAACATATTTGGATATATGAAAAGAGAAAAGATGATGGTTCTCTCTATTCTTCCTTATGTTTAGAACGTGTAACATTGAATGATAGAAGTAATGTTTTTTGAATTGTTTGTTGAAATGTAAAAGATGTAGTAGGAAACAAGTGTTTTTTTCGTTGGAAAGCTGATATTACAAATACAAGTTTTTTTTGAATATTCAAGATGAGTCATGCAGATTATCCTAATTGAGTATGAGTATGAATAGAAGGGACCAATCTGCTCATGTGAAATTAGAAAGCAGGACAAAATCTCTACTAGTGAAACGCGTTAAAGATGGTGTATTAGAGTGGCTTCGAAACAAAAACTGCTCAAAGGATGTAGAAAAGATAGAAAATAAATGAAAAACCATTATTTAGAAAAAAATATGTTACCCTTGAAGAAGGGAGATTCCTTAGAGTAGCACATTTCAGAATTCAAAGATTTAGTTACTCATTTAACAGCATCAAGTGTGGGAACCAAGTGATTCTGACAATATATGTGGTAGGTACTTTGATCACTTTTTCGAAATATTGTGAAAAATTAGTTGCCATATTATACAACATCAAATGAAAAAAAAATCTTACGAGGAAATGAAAAAAAACTGGCAACAGGTGAAAGATTTTCCAACGAGAACAATTGAATAGATTTCTCATCCGTTACCTAGATAGTCCGTTATGAATGTGGCGAAAATGGGCATTTACGAAGATAATGTCTCTGAAACATTACCACATTAGAAATTGTCTCTCGATACGTGTTTTGTTAACCAAGTTAGCATCATCAGTTTCAGTCAAGCAAAATAGTTTTTCAAGATGAAATAGGGAAATTTTCAGACAATATTTTGGACAATGGCAAATAAGGCATAATATAAGAGATGACATGAGGCATAGACGGGTTCCGAATGCAGAGAGAGGGTTGGAAATTTAGAAATTGTGACAGATACACAGGAAACGGTAGGCCTAACGATTGAGAATGATCCACTATGTCAGTAAACCAAAGTAGCTATTTAATACATAAGATATGACAATCGAGATTACTGCTAAAATGACGGTGAAATGAACAGTATGAAGTAAGAGGCGACATAAGTGTTGCTTTTATTTAAAGAAAGAACCTTTTGTCGGTTGAACAGTTAGATATGACTAACATTTCTACGTTTGTTTGAAGGTGGTTGAAGGTCGTTTGATTTTTTTCATTTTTTTCAGGGATTCCAAATTAATTTATATTAAATTAGACAATGGAAGTCCGAACTGATGAAATACACTAATATTTCTGTTATATTTGAGCAAAATTGTATAAAATTATCATCTGATGACAAATATTTATTATTGATTGATAAAGTATTGACTGTTTGATTATGGGTTACACTAATTACTGGAAATATTTAGAATATGGCATGAGTAAAAAATGTGGATCAATAACACTAACTACTTCTGATGGTTTCAACTATTTTGGTTTTTCTGACTTCACAATGATGTATTTACTGAAAAATGAAGGCAAAACCTGACAAATTCGAAGGATATGTAAAAGTTGTGCAAGCTATAATATATTTGTGTGGTAATGGAGGCAAGTATATTTCAAATGATACGGGATAATTTTGCGAGGATCGAAGGATAGTATACATTATGATATCACAAAGCACGAATAATAATTGATGAATCAGGAACCTTCGAAGAATTTGGGGGTGAAGCAATAAAAACAACTTTCAATATATTATATCGAAAAGGTCACCAAGCACTGGTTTAATCATACCAGCAAAAATATGGGATGAAAGAGGTCCAAATATCAAAAATTCACGCAGTTTTGGATAAAAAGCATATTGTCTCATAGCGAAACAATTTGACTCAAAATATGAAAGACATGTGTTCAGCAGTAACTGAAAGCTTGTGGTTACGAAAATTTTTCAAGAGTTTTTTAAATCATTACATACTAGGTAAGATTGTATATCAGCAATGAAGAATCCTTTCAAGAATAGACGTGTTTTACACATTCATTTGAAATACAATTTTGTTGCCGAACATTCGGAAAATGGAATCATCAGAGGGTGTTGAGAATATGCTGAAATCATCATAAAACCTAGTCATTTTTAGTAATGTACAGAAAGGTTCAGATTCATTAATGAATAAAAAAAAGAATATTTTAGGTGCCTGCCTTCTTTCTGACGTATGACACGGGTAACATTAAATAATAGAAGTGAGATTAACTGGATAAATGTTTGATATGATTGCAATGATAATGACATGTCCAATTGGAAAATGAATTCAGCAATTAGTTTTAGGTACATGAGGTTTGTTTGTCCAAATAATTACTATATCCCTATTCACGTATTCTTTCACATTATGTAAGGCTTATGTGCGTATGTTGCATATCTTAATAAGGATCTAGAGGTGATTTCGAATTGGGGTGGAAGAAACCAAGTTCAATTAAATGCCATAAAAACCCAGGTATCGGTTTTCTCCAAAAAGATAATAGTCTCCGAACCGGATATTATAATGCCAGGTCAGACAATTCCACTTTTGCTTCGATGAGTTTGTTGGGGAGTTAAAATGGACAGCAATTTGTCTTGGCACAAATAAATATAAATAAGCAGATACCTATCATATTTCAAGTATCATATTTCATATTTCAAGCGAAAATAAAAATTATGTTCAATATATGAGAGAGAAATAAGTGATGAATAATATAAGAAACACTAATTTGTAAGGATAACAAAATATCCCTATTACGCATATGATCTTCAGTTCGTTTCTAATGAAATTTGTATTTTCCCTTCATATTTTTACCTTGATTATCCAAGTCACTGTCATATTTGCCACAATCTAAGTTCCTGATGTATCCAAGTCCTCTTTCAGAGAGAGCTAATACTACTTCAGCAGTTAAATTTGGATCTGTGAATGCTCCATCAGGGTCTTGTCTTGCCTCTATATAGGCTTTGGCAGATGTCCTATTCCAATGGTTATTTATTTCATTGAGATCTTGCAGTGCCTACGAAAATTCATAGTATAACTTATATATTCGCTTCCTTGGGAATTCATGTTGCTATCCTTTGAATTCTTCCCTACATATCTATAATAATCACGATTTAGAAAAATGTAAGTGATATGCTTGATTTAATTTGAAACTAGGAACCCATTTCTAGGAATCTTAATAATGGAAATTGATTACCTGCAGAGTAAGTGCTGTATTGTATAAGTTTCCAAAACCGCCATCAGGTTGTTGTTGACGAGCTAGACTGATACTGGGCCTCCGTAAAGAGTGTTGTAAGTTCCTATGCCTGTGATCTTTAACTATACACCTCAGGGCTAAGATTGTCATCGCGACCGTGTCTGTAAGAGTAAAAGTTTATAATAAAAATAATTGTGAAATGAATTTATTATTTAAATTGAAAATGGCATATTCTAGGGGAGATTAGTACTTGCGGGAAGAAAAAATTTCATATAAGTGACATTCTATTTCTATACTCTTCCATGTATTACATGATATATGATGAGTCCTGTCCAATCAAGTAAGTGACGAAAATAAAATAACACATTAAAGATGATCATATTGTATGTACATACAATATCAAAAAGTTGTACAAGTGAACGAAAAGGAAATATAACAAATAACAACCTGCATAATCATCAGTATGTATAATTAAAATGTTGAACGAACAAAAGTTATTCGAATGACTGTAAAAGCAAAGGTTGTGTATAAATTTTCGTCATCTAGGTCTGTATGTGCTGTGTGATTTCCAATTTGGTACCATACCTTGTGTTGTAAATCTAATCCAAAATCAGTATGTCTAATTCTCTGAAGATCTCTTTCAAACCAGTTTTTTTGGGTTTTGAAAGAATTGTTCTGAAAGTTCTCTTCAGTAAACTTGAAACTTGATTAGCTTTTGTTGAGCAACCCAAGCAATTATTGCATGATTTATTAATGACTGAACACCCCAACTGTTCTACTCGACACCCGACGAAGTTGGTGAATACAATAACAACTCGGAGCTACTTTTTTTACAAATGTTGTTGACGTGGTATGACCAAGTACAGTTCTCAGTTAGATGCAAACGTATGACCTGTTCAAAAGCATTATTACCCAATTGTAATGTTGAATCACATTCATCTTCATTATTGATATAATTGAATTTGATGATCATGAATGCATTTGATGAAATACACTATCCATGATCTTGATTTTACAATGTTCACACAAGAACATTTATCAACGTGTTTCGCTGTAAGGTAACTTCATCACGTGGACTAGTATATCAAACTATTTATTAATATTGATATATCAATTAAAAGCATCGTTTGTTTTGTTTCAGTATTGACTAATTGCAACTTTGTCAAAAAATGTTGATGTCTCCATCTGGGCTTTTGTATAATGACAAAATTATCAACACTTCGTCATCATAATTCTTATTCACTCTCAGTCCTACACTTCGGAAGTGTTTATCTTCTGAAATACTTTCCAGCTAGCCTATTATTGTCTTCAAGGTTGTGATAAAACTCTTATATATTCATTCCATCCTGCATCAATATTTACTCTAGAAATCACAGTTGTCATTGTATGTCATACTATATTGTATATGTAGTATTTTGTTGATTAAAGCCAATTTAGTTTGATCTATTCATAACAATAGTATGACCATCAATATTCAATGATTCAGTTTGGCCATCATTAGCTTAATTTTCTGTCACACATAATATATTACAACAAATATTATTCTAATTCTCAATTTGATGCACTTGTTGAGTGTATTGAATTTGAGTTTATTTCTGAAAAAAATCGTCGTTTATAAACTCTTTCTTGTTTCGTGAAGATCTATCGTTATGATCCAGTACAGATATGACAGTCATTAACATTGAGTTTGAGAGTCATATCCTGAGCTCCTGCCCAATATCGATAGTTCTTTGTTTTCTAGTAGACTTGATTCTTGTGAGTTTAGGTATAGCCGATCATTTCCTGGTGATTCCTCTTGACAAATAAATGATGCTGAGAGTATTAACGGCACGGCAATACATTCAATGAAATGTTCCGAACCGATATTGTTGTTTGAAAAAAGATATGCAGTTCGGGTATGTTACTTAATGTTTGATATGATTGCAATGATAATGACATGTCCAATTGGAAAATGAATTCAGCAATTAGTTTTAGGTACATGAGGTTTGTTTGTCCAAATAATTACTATATCCCTATTCACGTATTCTTTCACATTATGTAAGGCTTATGTGCGTATGTTGCATATCTTAATAAGGATCTAGAGGTGATTTCGAATTGGGGTGGAAGAAACCAAGTTCAATTAAATGCCATAAAAACCCAGGTATCGGTTTTCTCCAAAAAGATAATAGTCTCCGAATCGGATATTATAATGCCAGGTCAGACAATTCCACTTTTGCTTCGATGAGTTTGTTGGGGAGTTAAAATGGACAGCAATTTGTCTTGGCACAATCATGTCGCTGTAATTGCAAAGGCTGCTTCTCATAACCTTGGAACACTGTTCCGAACCAGAAAATTGTAGACACCTCGGCAACTTTTGACACACACTGTCGGAAGACAGTCGCCTCTCTTTGGAAAACGATGAAACAGCAGAGCACATACTTTGTGCCTGCCTCGCTGGGGACCAAATTAGGTTTTTAGAGTTCAGCAGAGCCGTATTTTTATCACCTGACCTGAAAGAACACTCACCATACAAACTAATCAGTTTCGTTAAGAAGCTGGGTTTATTTGGTCGAGTGTGAATAGGTGTGAGCCACAATAAACCCTTTAGGGTTGCGGTAGAGAGTCGAATAGACCCACTCACTTTGGACTTAACCTAACCTAACACCTCGAATTTCACTCTTCAAAACTCTTTGATTTAGAAAACTGCGTTTGTAAGGAATAAATTCCCTGAGAACGTTTTCCCTAGCGATTCAAATCCAATGTTAATCGCTACACAGGCACTGCTTAGAGCGACTTGAATATTTTCCTGTAGTGCTTGTGGTTTGTCCTTGAAAAAATCAGTATTCCAAGCATCAGGTTTTCAGACAGTTTGGCTAATATATTCTCCTGTTTGCTCAATGAATGAGTTGCATATGTTAGGGGTTATATCATTTCATCTGAAATTTTCACCGGTATCCTCACTTATTTTATTATTAGTCATATTTCCTCTATTCCAAAGAGATACTCGTTTATTACAGATCGATTGATTTTTCAGTACATTCTCAGTATCAGGTATTCGGGTGTTTTTGGAAGTACCTATGATGGTACTTGTTTGAACCCCAATCATGTTTTCTTTTTTCGTAATGTTATCAATAATTCTTTCTGATTCTGCAATTTTGGGCCTCTGAAAGTGACCTTCTTTGGTTAGCCATTATTTCGTTAAGTTCTTCTTCTGATTTGGACGCTTCCTGCATAATATGTATGATTATTTTTAGCGAGTATTTTAACGTTGAGTTGTTCAAGTAAATTTATTCCTTATTCAATTCGTTTCATAGTCTTGCAGCATAAGATTTTGTGATCTACCAAAAATTTTTATTCGTCTTCGTTTATGAGAACACATGCTCTGTGATAAATATTAAAACATCGTTGGTTCAAGTAATGCTAGTAAATTAAATCAAAGACGATTAATTAGGCTGGGGAATATTTATACACTTTGCACTGGAATTGATTGGATACTTTTGATATCACACCAGGAATAACTGAAATATACGCGATGTAGCATTCCTATGAATGATATTTATTTCAATTCCACAACGAATGGTTGGAGTACAAACTAAATGGAAAAAGTGATTTGGGCATATAATTCAATGTTCAAAAGGACTCTTTCCTTTCGTGTAATTCAAGGTTTATTTGAAAGTAGTCGTTCCGTAGTCGTTACAGTTTATATCTGTAAGAAATTTATATGTATGTTCTATATATCTTTTTGGAGAGTTTTCTTGTTATTTTCTTCCTTTCTTTCTTTTAAAGTTCTTTACGTTTTTTAATGATAGATAAGAAGAAAGCCAACTAGCTTTTCCAAAAAGAATTGATTTGTTTGATTATACTGAATTTATTCGATGAAAAGCCAATGAAAACTTCTACTAAAACAGTGAGGACCAGTAAAGACCAATTCGAAAAAAGCGAAAAACCAAATATCATCTATAAATATAAAATTTGAATTAGAAAAACAAGTTTTTTGACATCAGAAAATATACCAGGTTTGCGACTAACCTATATTATGATCTTTGGCAGTATTGGCAATATCTAGAAGTCGTCGAATCTGCTTCTTTCTGACGTGGGCTCTTGCACTGCAACTAGCTAGGGAAGCGTAGGCAAACTCTATGTCATGTACAGGTTCATGATGTTGAAGAGTTCCAATCAAGTCATGGCCATGAAACTGTCTCGGATCGTGGCACAATGCATTGAGGGCCAAGCAGTATTGTGATAGCTTTGGTGGGGTGATTGGTACTTCATGATGCCTAAAAAATGGTAAAACATAAATAATTTTCAGGAAAACTGAATAGTATTTTTGAATCAACTAGTGTGGTGTCATGTTTCAAATTGACAATTCGATCCTGAATCAATTGTAAACATGAAAAATTTCATATTGAATTCATGAAGCTGATCGTGTTGATATGGGTGCCTTGCTCCATTCACTCAATCGACCCCTGTGTGAATCGGTGGTTCAAGTCGCAGGCTGGACGATCAAATTTCACTTATTATCATCCAACTCGTGTGAGAAATCACACGTTAGAGCTTTCGAATTGAAATCAATAAGGGAATGATCAGAAGAGTACTTATCTATTTATTTTTTGATTTTCATGGAATTATTTTCCAGCAGTTTCAATACATCAACCTTTCTTGATTTCATATTATTTCTAGAAACATGTGGACTTGTTTTACGATGGCATTCCAGGTTAGCTTCTCAAATTTCTGCTACAGCAGTTGTCGGTTGATTGGTCAATCCACCAACACTGACATAAAAACTTGACAAGTTGAATAGGGTGTCACACCACTGAGTAGTTCCACTTATGTCTCGCTTGCGTTCAGGCAGTTATTTTTATGAAGTACTTTTCTTGGTTATTCACATTTTGTCTTCAATCGAGGACCAATAGGCTGAAACAGCTGTCTATCGGTGGCTCTTGAATTGAAATCAATATGGGAATGATCAGAATAAAACTTATTTATATACCACTCAGTGTTATTAACGGAACCTACGGGCGCCCTTTCTTGCTTCGTAGCAAGCCTTGTCACGGTAATGGGGTTCTCGGTGGGGAACGATTTTTTCCCTTAATACTTGTGGGATCCTTCATGGACTGTAGAGTAATCAAATAATATAACCTTCAACCTTCAACTCAGGATCCTATTGAAACAGAACTGGAAACAAACTCTCGATGAATTGGAATCGAATATTTATTTCCCAAGCCACACATTTGTATGGCTAACCTACCTGACGAAGATAGTCGCAGACTTACCGTATGGTGTCATTTGAGATGAAAAAATTGTGGTTAATTCACCGATGGTGGTGGTGACTCCACTATCTATGTTCGATAATATCTTTTTTGATCTAATATACAATTATTTTTTTGATCATCTCTTCAAAAAATGGAGATATCGACAGTGAAACACATTGTGCGACATTCTGTAACATTTATCGTAGTTCTTTATATTGGCCCAGTAATATGATTTCAGAACTATACAGGTATTTGTGAAATTAAATCTTAATTCAAATACTCTGAAGTGATGGCAGTAATTTATTGCTCTGGTGGTATCATAAGATGAGTGTTCATTATTTAACATGTCCAATACAACCTCAGCATATGAACTGTAGGCCTTGTTCTTCTGACCCATATTGACCTTTATACTGATGTTCTCTCCGGAATAAATTACTATTCAACTCAACGTATTTTATGTGAAACACAACATACGGTTTCATCCCTGCAAAAGAATCAAATCAAAGAGTTCTATAAAACTGTTCACCTAGACTAGATTCGTCAGATCGATTTGTGTTTTGTTTATATCGGAGAGCAGAACGTATAGGACTGAAAAGTATTCATTCAAACATTAGACATTCAGTAACTCCGTAAAAACGTTACACTTATTTTTTACTAGGTTTTCACGAAGAATGATGAAACTACAAAAATATATTCGATCTTCTACATTATAATTTTTCCTTTTTATCGAAAATTAATCGAAATAACAGATAAATTTTACCTCCACAACAATACAACGACCTCCACTTCCATTTGTTTGAAAGAAAGCTGAATCTCGTAGGGATCAGGCATCAGACGCCCGATTTCCTCATGGGGCGCCAGTTGGAGGGCCGTCAATACCTTTGGGGTGTCATTTCTCCATCCCCAATTGCTCTCCCTTTGCGTAACTAGCCACGACAACGCCCGCTGTATGCTTGACTCGCTCTTTTCAGGGTTTTGTTGCTGTAATTGATGAGGGTCTAAAGTTGTGCCAAATTTTATGGACTCGGTTGTGCCTGTGAAGTTGAAAAAGTTCTTGATTAGGCCAATTAATGAGAGGCGATGTGTAGGTACAGGCTATCGATGCGTTTTATAACAGGGAGTTTGAAATGTATGTTCAAATAAAACTTAGAAATGATATGAACATAATCATGAACAATATACAAAAGAAAGAAAAGTAATTGGCCAATTTTTTCTCCGCTGTAACAAATTTCCAAGTTAAAATAAGTTCGACTGTTTGAATACAAAAGTTTTACTTTATTTCACTAACTCAGTATACAATGTTCCCCTCATCTTGGATTACACTTCAGTTTCAGGCGCCAGTATTGCTTCTTCTGCTCCTCCGGGACAAGTCTTTGAAGTGCTCGAAGGGGCGAAGTAAATTTATATTCAAATGAAGCTTGGAAACTATACAAAACCAAGTAGTGTAATTATGAAATTTGTAATCACAAACAAAACTTTGTCTGAAGACTGTATCGAGGAGGAATACCTATGAATAAGAAAATGAATATTACACAGTAGGATTTGGTAAATACCTACCGGAAAACTACTACTTCCCCGGCTAATACCACGCTGGACATTGACTTATATCCGACAGTGCAGGAAAGTTTCGACCCAGATAGTGAAATGCCTGGTATTCGATTAATCTCAACGCGGCTCCGCTGCATGTATGACACTTTCGTCTAAGAGGTCTAAGAGGTCTCGAAACCGGTCTGTAGGTGATCTACTTGAAAAATTTCAGCATGGTTTTGCTGCTGGAGCAACTAGAAACATATAAGAGACTAGCCTCTGTGAGGTAACTTGCATAAATGTCTGTCGTATAAGCCGGAAAAGTAGTTGCTTTTCAGCAGGTATTTAACAGAATCTACTGCATAGATAATTGGGAGAGATGAGTGTTACGAAATTTTATTTCGAAATATTTTTTATCTTTATACAAACAAAATTGTTATGATGTGAGAGAACAAAATCTGGACCGTAATCGAATGGAACCTATAGCACCAAATATATCTTTCGAGTTCTCAGCAATGAATTATTGGTGATCTACGTGTTCACTGGTATTTATACTTTCAGATGTTGGTGGGGGTGATGGTGGAGATAGCGGCAAGGCCGACGATGGGTTCAGTGGTGGAGGCGATGACGGAGTGCCTGTGCAAATATTACAAGGCTGTTCTGATTGGTACACGTTGTTGACGGGTATGCTACTGGTGGGATGTCGATCGAAGTTGTATTCTACTCCATTTCTGGTATTTATTGACTACTCGATACCACGGTCTACTGAGCCGTATACTTTTTTCTTTTCTGTTGAAACTGTTGGATTACCTATAGATCTCAATGTCGTTCGTGGTAATGCGTTGAATCAAACAGGGCAGCAGTTTTTTCGTATTTTATTACGTGTTCTGTTTCTACTAGGGAATGCTCTGTGTTAGTGGATTTCTCTGGTTGCATGAGACGGCAGCTACGCTTGTGCTCTTGCATCCTGGTGATGCAGGAGCTTTAGGTATGTTGTGACGTTTAAAACGATTTTCGATGCGGTCCGTGACTTTATTTATGTGAGGCAAGTATACTGTGCTTACCTTCCACTGGCGGCTGTGTTGTGATCGAAGCTGAATTATTTCTTCTTCTAGGATGTAGTACACGTTTGAAAATTGTTATTCTGTGTCATGAATATGACTTCAAAAAATACATTTAACATATTCCTGTGATTAATGCATTCAGCGTGGAAATCTTTCAGATGGAGCAAAAACACGAAGAAAAAGGAACCGAAGAATGTTTGATATTCATTTATTTTTTTGTAAAATGATTCAGTTGTTTATATTTTGTGACGAAGAAAAACTTTTGTGAGATTTGTTCCTATAGTTTTGAAATTTGTAAGGACCGAGCCAAACTTCATTAACTACTATCAAACAATTGATAGTTTTACTGATTCATATAGAATATAGTTCACAGTCTGAAAAGTTTCATGAATGTAACTCCAAAAGTAATAATAACTTCATAACTATTGCTAGTTGACTAGTGATTTGAAACAATTTTCAAAAAAGCTGTTCATTGGAAAAAATGACGAGTTTCCTTTTATTTGTTCCAGCCGGAAATTAGTTTTTCAAATTTCATATTAGTATCGATTTAGGTACATTTAGAAAAAATTCAAGTATATAGATCCACGTCATTTCAGCAAAGCAACAATTTTTTGTTTCAATTACATTTCAATAGAGAAGAATGATCAGATGATTTGAAGCACGTTGGAAAATATCCACAGTCTATAGTGTTCAATATCAATTGATTCTGTATGATTGAAAAATATAATAATTACTGATTTTTATTCTCCCTGAAGCTATGATTCAATTCTTCAAGTGTCTTGGCCATCAATTATTGAATATATTTATGGGATTTTCACATAAAATCACACAGTTTACTGAACAGAAACACACCTTCTGCTATACTAAGTGCTGAGTTGTTCAAGTCCGTTCTTTACGTGCTTCAATATAAAACACTTTCTTAGCCGGTTGAACGTTGAGATGTTCTAATGATGTATCATGAAGATGTGAATTTTTCACGGGTGAGCTGCGGTAAACACAATCTCATTTTTACAGCTATCAACTATTGGAATTTTAATAAATTCCGACTTTGAACTGGGTATTTTGAGTTTTATCTTCAACTCGAAATTTATGGCCTGTTCTTTTTATTCATTCTGAATTTGAACTTGGAATTATATATAATCAAGTGATCGACTGATGAGGATTAAAGTCCAGTGGACACTCGTAGTTTAGCAGCCTGATGGACATCTTTTCAAGGAATAAAAAAACAATTCTTCATTTATTTCTAGTGAATATCATGGGCTGAAAGAAATCTAAATGGAGTTTGCAAAAAGTTGGCGACTGATGCATGACAATTGAAGAACATTTTTTTTTCTATTGGCAATTCATTGACTTCGTTAGTCGCTTGAAAGTGCAGCGCATCTTTGCATTGAGTGCTCAATATTTTTGTTCATAATTCACACACATAAAGTGACATATTTTAAAATGTGTTGTTGTTTCATAACTGAATATAACCAACAGTATTTTCACAATAAGATAACCTTCCTTCTCTACAATAATCTTTGAAGAGATATTAAAAAGACGTTATCATTTGAAGCAAATCTCGAAAAAAACTGTTTTGAAAAAGTTCGACGTAATAGTTGAAATGAATTTGAATAAATTTTTCTGAAAAAAAAACATTTAATTTGAAGAAGTAATGATCTTGATGATGATTAGTTCATAATCATAGGCAAAAGGTTCAATAAAAATCCCGTCTTCACATCGTTGAAGACACTTCCTCTAAATCAAAATTGTTCTTTCCCAGTTTTCAAATTTTCATTCGGTTCCGTTTCTGTTTTCATAATATTTCCACAGACAAATGGTTTTTTTGTGTAAATGAATCCACAGATTTCATAAGTCCTCTAGATTCTCAGTAGTTGGACGAAAATGTTCAGCTGACAATACTGAATTTAAGTTATGCTATTCCTCGTAGTGAATGAATAGTCAGAATAGAAAAAACCACAGACGAATGGATTTATTCGGCTAAATATTCATGAAAATATGTGGTTCTTCTTCTAGTACACTGGAATCTAGTGTTCTGTCAATTGAATAGGGTAGAAAATAGAATTCACAACATGGATTTGACCCATTTTCCGAGACGTGTTATTTAGGTTAGCAACTACGTGATCTTTTGTGAAAAATATTCCATTATGCGTCCTCTTTGGATATATCCCAACATTCATATATTCATGGTCGATTTATGCTGACATTTCGAAAGGTCGACGCTGAACGGGGGTGAAACAAAATGAGCATCGGTGACTTTTTCCCTGTCGCTGTTTTCAACAAGTTCACTAAGAAATCGATTATTTGGTGGTTGGAGTAACTAATTATGTTAATAAAGATAAGGTAAACGAGCAAGCGTTAATCATTGACGTTGATTGGGATATCGATTCATTAAAATTATTTATTTGTTGCATTTGCCGTTATCTTCTTCAACTCTTGAAATTTTCAATAATATTATTCAAAGTAGGTAAGTCTGACGATGTGGCAGTTATGAGGCGAAAATATCCGAAAATTACATTTTTAGAATGAAAAATATTCCTGGTGAACATTTCTACTCGAAACAAAATTCGATTATATAAAAAACAATATTGTTTACAGGGTGTCTGAAAAGTTGGAAATTAAATTTTTCACAAGAGTGAAGTACCCCTGATCAATATATCTCGATTTCAAAACATATCACGGCTCCATTCATGGAAATTGTGGCTTCATCTGGGAACATTATAAGTTTGAATGATCTCTCACTACAATTGTTATCTTTTAATGTGTGGTTATAATGTTGAAATAATATATTTTCTACACCAAAACTTTGGATTAAATGTATTATAGTAGTCGCTTTGCTTATTACGAGAGGATTTATTGCTGTTTTACCCAACCCTCATTCATCCAAATAGTGAACTGAGATTGAATAATTGACAGAAAAATACAAAGAAATACAAAAAACTTACATTATACTGCTACCCAGCAGGATCGATGAAAAAGAGATGTGCTGCATTCTGAAAAATGCTCTGGAACCGTTTTCAAAGAATGACATATGAATACTGAACGAATTTCTTAATACTTTTTGTTCACGATCTTGATCTCCCTCAATCTGCCGAGGTTACAACTTTGCTTCTTTCACTTCACTAAGGCAAAATGTTCAATACGCATCCGTGCATTGTTTGCGTATTTTGGAGATTGTTTTATATTTTTATATCCTGTAATCGTGTCAATTTTGATGTTTATGAACTTGGAATATCAAAAGACTGAATTGTGAATACTGAGTGTAAAATTTTGTAAAATATTGAAGTTGCGGTTGAAACATCTTTCCATTCATGTATTTGCTTGAAATGTTTTGTATTATTTCATGAAGATTTTTCATAATTGACAGTATTCTTTGAATATTATGAACTATAAGATGTTGGAAAGGTACTGACGATGACATTTTGTTTGAAACTGACGAATAA